AATACCAAATAGGGCTGGGAATGTGGCTCAGTCTTGAGTACCCCTGAGTTCCTGCCCCCATGAAAAAAAAAAAAAAAGAATGCAGTTTTTGAGGAGGATAGGCAGAGGGAATAATAATTTCAAATGTCCAAATGCTGGGACATTCCCATCTTGAAGGAAGGGCAAGCAATGAGCAGGCAAGAAGAGTGATTAGTAAGGGAGACAGTCAAAGTGGAGATTGGTCATCAGTTCCTGTGCTTAAGCCARGGAAAGCCAACTTTTTTTTTGTGAAGAGGCAGACAGTAAATATTTTCCACTTTGTGAGCCATTCAGTCTTTCTTGCCACTATTCATCTCTGCTGCTGTAGTGTGAAAGCAGTCACAGTGAATCCATAAGTGGACATGACTAATAAAACTTTATTTACAAAAAAAAGAGAAGAAAAAAAAAACTATTACAAGCCAGTGCAGTGATTTTGTAGTGCTTTAACCCAACTGCAACAGAGATACTGTAACAGGGGCTCACCTGATGCTTCGACTGTATCCCTTGTCCCTTTGAAACTTACACATTTTTTTTTCTTTTTCCCAAACTTCTCCCTAACCTTCTCCTTCCTGATCTTCTCTTCCCAGATCTTCTTTTCACTGATCTTCTCCTTCCTGATCTCTCCTCCCTAATATCATTTTTTCTAAATCATCTCTAAAAAAGCCCCTGGTCCTGCTGATGGGCAGAATCACAGCCTCTGGGACAGGAGTCTCCGGTGTTTCTCCTTGGCTAGGAGAGCAGTAAACTGTCTTTTTCCCTTTTCTCAAAACCCTGTCATTGCTATTGGATTGGCATCCAGGACAAGGCCTTCAGCAACAATACTACTAGATAGAGGCTGCCGAGCTACACAGGAGTCCAGAATGCTTTTTACACTTTTAAAAGGTCTAACACACACACACACACACACACACACACACACACACTCACACACTCACATACACACACCCCGCACAGAACACTGGAGAGAAACTGTGTGGCCATAAAGCCTAAAATATTTGCTGCCTGGCTTTTTACWGAAAATGTTTGCTAACTTCGGTACTAGATTCACAAAAACAAATTGGACAATTTTTTTCTTTATTCTTTGAAATAAATTCTCCAGGAAAGGGATATCAAGGATCCCCTTGATTGACTCAAASAAAACAAAACTTGATCCCATCTGTTTTGTTGATAACACTTACTAACTTTTTATAAAAATAATCCCTTTCTTAAAGAAGTTATTTCATAGAGTTTCACATTCTAACCACATTCTAGGTGCCAGTAACCACATGCAACTAATGGCTATCATATGGAACTTACCTACTTCTAAAAGCACTAATAATGTGCCATTCACATTCCACTCTGCCATCATGTGTAATTGATTTCCGTGTGGTAGGAGGCAGCATATGTAAACAAGGAAACTAAGTACTTTATAAAATCTGAGGGAGATTTTTCAGACCACAGAGCCAATCKGGCTTTCTTAGGAACGAAAACAGCTTGATCAGACTAAGACTTTATAAATGTCTCTCATTTCTGTATATTCTCTTTTATTGCATGAGGATTTGGGGACATGTCTGCCAGTTGTTCTAGGGTTACATCTTTCCTACTTCCAACAGATGAGAGAGAAGATAGTTGTACTTCTCTTTAGAAATATTCCAGCTCAGGTCATATTCCAATATACTGCAGTCAGAGAGATRGATATTTTTGGCCAAGCCTGGATTCTATGCCCATATTTATAATCATGGAACAGAAATTGTTCCCACAAAATGGTAGCTACCACAGTATTCCTTGTCCATTTCATCCATGAGTTGCTTTTAGGGAACTGGAACTACTCCTTAACCACTAAATAAGTATAGGTGAATAGTCTCTTAATTTGACAGGAATGTTTAAATAAAGCCAAAAGCAGGAGTAAGAACATACATTTACTTGCTTTGAATTCATTTTTATGGTAGATATTTGAAAAMCATCCAAATTCTTAGTTTACAAGCTTAGAATTGATAATTACAAGGGCTTGCTAACATTAACAATAATTCAACATTTTCTTTGTAACTTGCATTTTTTTTTTTTTTCCAAATTTCTGGCTGGTTAGAAGAGACAGGACGGCAGGATGGTGTCTTTGATAGCTATGAATAGGTTTGAAGAAATTTTGAGTGTGACTTTCTGGAATAATCACACAGTCTTTTCTGCCCTTAGTCTACCTTAAACAATTTTCTTCACAAATGTTTTTTAAATAATGCAAAAAAAAATGGTATTTAATACTGAAGGAACATTTTTCCTCCATTCAAATTTATCTAACTTCATGTCTGAGGGAGCCTTAGTCTCAATTTATTAGGCTCATCATTTATAACAAAATTTCAAATTGAAGTATGCCTCTGTGTTAGAGACAGAAGGGTTCCCCCAGGGTCTTGGTGTTCCAATTTTAATTCCTATTTTTTTCAGGGCTAATATGTTCCCTTTTTTGGGGGAAATGAAAGCCTTTTTTATCCCCCCCCCCACCGTCGGATCATTGATCAAGAGAATTGTATAAGTGGAAAGAAGAATAAGGAGCTGGAGGAGAAGTGGAAAGAGGAGTATCTTCCTTTAGTTTCTGTGTTTAGGAGTTGACATGATTCAATAAGAGAAACTTCCCACTTTTATTTTTTGGAGGACATACAGCTGAGAAAAAGTATTAATTTTGACTTTTATTACCCTGACTTGGCATATCCAAAGCAAATTATGTAGACTTCAGATAGATTAAAAAAAGGATTATGTAGCCCCKATTATTTGCATGGTGAAACACTGATGTGGGGGTAATTTTCTCAGGTGCTTACCTAACAGAGCAGGACTCTGGGATTCCACAGTACTTTTCCAGCAGCTATGTCTTCCTGGTATTATCCTGGCACCCCTCTTCCCACTTCTACCCCACCCAACCTTCCTCTCACACACAGGTTTTTTGTTTATTGTTTTGGTTCAGAAGTTCAGAAACATTTAATGGCGTGTGTAAATGTAACTCCAAGATAATGACGTCTAATGCTTCTTGTTAAATTCAAAACCACATACAACCCTAGCCAAAAATAAGAACTAGGATTCCTTTTCTTTTTGTATTTGTTTTTTGTAGACACTTGGTTGGGAAAGTCAGAAGTTTAAAAGTGTTTGCCTTTTGGACTTTTTAARTAGAAGCATTTTAATCTTAGCTTACAAGTCTAATACACTTTATTTTTATTACTATAATCTTTTAACAATTCATTTTGATACATAAAGTTATACGTATTAATTGGGTACCACATAATATTTCAGTCCACCTGTACACTGTGAAATGTTTAAGTTAGTTTAAACATATTTATCCTTTCAAACATGTATCATTTCTATATGGTAAAAACTTACAAAATTTTAACTTTTTAAAATGTACAGTCCCTTATTGCTATTTATAGTTATCCTGCTCTGCAGTAGCACACCAGTCTTTGCTTCTGTTTGACTGTAGGTAACTTTGCACTCATTAATTTTAATACATTTTAAAATTATAATCATAACAAGGCTGGGGTTGTAGCTCAGCGGTAGTGCACTTGCCTGGCATGTGTAAGGCATTGGGTTTGATCTTAGCACCACATACATACAAATAAATAAAGCTATTGTGTGTCCATCTCCAACTAAAAAAATAAAAAAATAATCATAACAATCCACACATCCAAAAAAAAATTAGATGCCATATCATTACTTGCATCATCTATTGATATCATTACCTTCATCGACTATTATTTGTATCTTGCTTTTCAGTGTTTTGCTCTATGCAATACTTTTAGGTAATCATAACTATTGGTTAATTTTGAAAGTAGAAATTTTTTGTTAACTTGAAATGTGGCTGAAACTTCAGTGCTTGTTCCCAATACTAATCCAATTGTGAGACATGGTTTTGAGAAAAAGGAAAAAGAAGTTTTATTGCTTTGCTAGCAAAGGAGAAACACAGGGGAYTTCTGTCCCCAAGGCTGTGATTCAGCCCATCAGCTTCTTGGGGGCTATAAAAGAGGTGATCCAAAGATTACATTCCATGCATTGTCTGTTGGAGTTTTAATTCACTTGTTAATTTGGAATAATAATTTCTGAGATCTTCTGATACCATCCCCAAAGTCTGGATTACTTTGTTCCTATGGTGGGTGTGTGCTCAAGGACATAACTCTGCCTAGGATGGAACAATGAGGTTATATTCAAAGCATGGACACTGTCATGGAAGGAACAACATGCAAATGAAAATCTGTTATCTTCTACTTACTTTAGGATATCACCTASTGCTGATGAGAATCAGAAAATGACTATTTTCTGAAGTCGCTGTGATTTTTAAATTTGTGACACTCAGATGATAATTTTAAATAGTGCTTTAGTATGAGGTGTAAGAAATAAAATAATTTTGTCTTTTAATGTTGGTTAAGATTTACACTTGTAATGCATGTACAGGCAGAATTTACACAGTGTAGACTCTTTCTAACTCTGTAAATACATAGAATTAATTGTGTTGCTAGGATACACAAAATAAAAAAAAATAAAATCAGTATGATATATATTACGAAATCTAAATTTTGTTTCTATAAACAATGCAGCTTCTAGGTGCTTTCGATTAACAAGTTGTGTGTGAAAAATGTTTTATACGTGAGTTAGAGGGAAAAAAAAACTCTTTAAAACTAAGTCATCATTTCCTGTTTCATTTTTCATTTTCTTTTGGCTCGCAAGGCTTTCCTCTCTCAACAGGAGTTACTTAAAGTCTGTGAGAAGATCTGTTCTGAGTGGACTTCTTCTGGATTGGTTAAGATCTCTTTTAAGTGTGTGCTTTGTTCTCGGAAAAGCTTAGGTCGGTGAAGCAACATGCTGCTACTGTTTGAAAAAAAAAAAAAAAAAAAAAGCTGAGTAATGCTGGAGGCTTCTCCGGTGGCTGATGCAAACCTGGAGAATTTGCATCATCATGTAGCTGGAGTAAATTGGTGTGACAGGCGGGAGCTTAAATACAAGCCCATGAGGAAGCTGAGCTGCTTCGCTAGGCTAGGGCGGCGGAGCCCGGGCGGCAGCCACGGTGCTGGGACCTGGAGCAGGGACCAAGAGCCCCGGGAACACACAGGTGCCCGAGAGTCATTCGAGCGCTTTGAAGGATAAAATAACACCTTTGAGTTTTTCACCTGTGAACACAATAGCGCTGAGACCCTCTGAAAGCAGAGAGGAGGAGACCGATCAGTCACCCCCAGAGACACTAAAAGTTTTGCTTTTTCTTCCCCTGTTCGATTTTTGCCCCGAGTGTCACTACTATGGTCAGAAAGCCCGTGGTGGCCACTATCTCCAAAGGAGGCTACCTGCAGGGAAATGGGAAGGGGGCGCTGCCCTCCGCGGGGGACAGCGAGCCCCCGGGGCCGGAGAAAGTGGTGCTGAAGAAGAAGATCACGCTGCTGAGGGGCATCTCCATCATCACCGGCACCATCATCGGAGCCGGGATCTTCATCTCCCCCAAGGGCGTGCTGCAGAACACGGGCAGCGTGGGACTGTCGCTCATCATCTGGACCGCCTGTGGGGTCCTGTCCCTCTTTGGTGAGTGCACCTCCTTCTCTGGGACGCGTGTGGACGTGGGGCTGGAAAGTTTTGGTCTCCGGGAAAGCGAAAGATAGTTATCGAAGAGTAAATGAATGGCAAGAGCTACATGGATTTTTCTTTTTCTTTTTTTCTTTTTTTTCCCCTCTTGTCTGGGTTTGTGAACTAGGCACACACAGTGCTCCTGGTTGGCGTGATCCTGAATGCTCTCAGATTGCTTCCTGCAGGCTATATCCTCTTCTCTTTCTGACCCAAACAGACTCTTTTCTGACTTTCCCTGGGCTGAGGAAAGCAAAAAGTTAACTTTGATGACCCAGAAAATACACGCGGACTCTCTGTGCCGGGCAGCGGTGCTTGGCTGGGTCTGTTGGGGGCGTTCTGGCAGCTGGGTGGCTACAAGAAACACCTGTGGGCTGACACCTGGCGCGGCCTTTCAGAGGCAGGACTCAGTCTTCACCGAAGTCTTACTGACYTTTTATTAGCAGAACAAATGCGTGGCAGTCTCTTCCTTCCGAATTTTTTTAGGTCCATGTGCTTGTCAGTTCCAAACTTTCAAATACCTGGACATGGAAAGATGTGTGATGGACAGAACTCAATTCAATCACAAATCGAGAATATTGCAATGGCCTCAACACATTTCAAGACATTTTTTTAAAAATTCATAACATCTATAAACACTTGCAATATAAGTTTAAAAACTGCAGTTGGATGTTAGTTTTCTGTACTTGCCAAGATCTGTTTTTCTCATCTGATTTATTTCACTTGGTCTCCACCTGTTCACTGAATTGATCTGAAGAGAACTGGTACAAGAAGTATAATTATTATTATTTTTTTCAAAATATATTTCTCTTATATTGATTTGAGAATTAAAATTAAAGAGAAAATAAATGCCTTCTCATCGGGTGATCGAATTACTACAAAGCTACCTGAATTAATTACAAAGGCGACAAAAGCTGGCGAATTGTTAAAAAAAAATGACTTATGCTATGGGGTAGATGTCTAAGATATATTTGCTCTCTTTGGAACATACTGTGCTTAGATTTCAAAAGATACTACAGTTTATAGTTACTAACTCTTTGTTCTAACACTAAGACCAAGTGCTTAACTCTTGGTTGGTCCTCTGTGTACCAATCCATTCATTCCTTCTGCTCAGGTCCTGTGATGGCTGGGGCAGTCATCTAGAAGACTCAGGTTTCCATTTTTAGGAAGAAGGTGTTTTAAATAAAGTCTGTTAAAGCAAAGTCTTAGTATAGAAAGATCCTTAGAGGAATTATTTTTGTTGGTTTTAAGAGTTTGTGGTATTATTTATGTGAATAAATTGTACTTCTTAAACCATTTATTTCATCACAGTTGTATATCATTATTTTCCCATTATTACTTTTCATCCTTGCCAAATACTTTGGAGTCATATGATGATGAAAAACCCTGATAGAACCCTTAGCTACTATTAATATTAAATGGTTCTGGCAAATGCAGTATATAGGTAAACAAAGAGAAACCCAACTGCGGATGATCTTTAACATGACTTTGTGCACCCCCAAGCCTTTGCTCTTTCTATAGCACATGGGGTATTTAGAATAAATCAATATGTAATTAGAATGACAACCCTCTCCTGGTCTTTGCAAACTCATGCACTTGCAGTCCCCACTACATGACTCAGTTTTTTGCACGCAATAAAAGTTTACTCATATGTAATTTAAAAAAAAAAAACACTGAGTACTAAATGGGTAAAAGGGCTGTTGACTTTTATGGTGAAAATATGCTGACTCATAATATCTTGTGCAGAAGGTTAAAAAAAAAAAAAAAACTCTAAGGGGAGTGTAGCATAGCTAAGGTTACACTGGACCTGATATTTTGTATTAGTAATTGCAGGAAATGTGCTCTTGTGTTAATCAACTTGTTCATATTTGCATGGCATTTTCCACTTAAACTATTAGTATCTCTCAGGAATGCCTCCCTAAAAGCAAAGCAAAACTAGGACTAAGAGTCAAGAATTGGTAGGTGTAAGGCTGGGGCTGGGGCTCAGCAGTAGTGCACTTGCTTGTCACGTGTGAGGCACTGGGTTTGATGCTCAACACCACATATAAATAAAATAAAGATATATCAACAACGAAAAAAAGAAAAAAATAATTCGTAGGTATATAGATGGTCTCCTACTTACAATGGTTCAACTTATTATTTTTAACCTTACAATAGTGTATAATAATAATAAATTTTTTGTTAGATGATTTTGCCCAACTGTAGGCAAATGTTAAGTATCCTGATCACCTTTAAGGTAAGCTAGTCAAAGCTATGGTGTTCAGTATTTTCAACTTAAGATGGGTTTGGGGATATAACCCCTCTGCAAGTGAAGAAGCATCTGTATTTGATTTACAACTTTTTTTTTTTTTTAATGCCAGGGTCAATACATGGATTTTTTTTTTTTTTAAATCCTGTTTTGAACCTTTTTCATCTGGGCAAAATGGTTATGGAACTTGAGACCTTTAAATGAAAATCTCATTTCCCCAGAATTCAATTTAAACCTAGGGCAACCATACTGGAGTTTCAGCAAAGCATAGCAAGGTCCAGGTATTGATTCTCTGACAATAAATTCCGAGGTACTTAAGGCTGTTTCCAATAACATTTTATATTGGATGCTTTTCTAGACCGCTGACAAACATGGTAGCTTTTCCCAATAGAAGGTGAATTGCAGCTGGTATAATTAGTTACAAATAGACAACATCTATCAGTGATCCCTGAATATTCATCTGCAGACTAGTTATGTAAGAATGATCCATGGGAATTTTTGAATCCCTCTTTTGGTGAGTCTGGACTCTCTTGCTTAGAGGCTACATCTAGAGTATCATCCTACAGTCTGCTTTTCATTTGATTGTTTTTGCATTAAAAAAAGAATTTCCACAAGAGTTTTTGGACTGATGAGCATTAGAAATCGTTTGGAATGGAAATACTGTATTAAAGAGAAGGATCAGATTAGGGGTGATTGGCACATGTTTCATAACTACCTCTGAACAAAGAAAAGTTTATTATAAATTTCATTGGTTTAAGGATGTGTAGCACACAATCTACAGACTACAATAAAATTTATAATACTCTTTACTGTAAATTCAAAAAAAAAAGAATTTCCTAGGTGATTCTGGTAATGTGAGGTTCAGGAATCAGATAAGTGATACTAAGATTTCACTGAATATCCAAATTATATTTATGTTGGACAGGTCTGTGTGAAGTACTCCTGATAAGTGGTAACTTTCTGCATGAATAGCTTCTGAAGATGCTCAGGCAAACTTAGCAGTATAGATAGAACTTTTCACTTGACATTAAGATCTATTTTTCATTCTCTTGATAATTAGTTGCTGAAATTGATAAGTATAGCGGTATTTCACGTGTTTCAGGCCCAGTGCTCTCTCTGGCAACCATTTTCACAAACACACAGCATTCTTGGGAGGTAAAAATGGAGATTTCCATTCCATAGGGAATGAAACTGAGCCTTGGGGAAGTTACATAATTTGCCCAATTCCATGGGAGTTGTATTACTAAATGTTACTATTTAGTTTGTACTTACTTTCACCTATATTAATGTACATGACAGCATCTCTTTTTTAAGAAAGTATATATACTTTCAACCATCCAGAGTGTACGCTTCAGAAATGCCCAGGATGACCTTTCCCACAAACAGAACACTGCAGAATTTGTTGTATTGACAAACTATATCATGCAAATTAAATGGAGTCTTGCAAGGGTTATAGTCCACATTTTGATGAAGAACAGATAACTCTTACTTACATTAATTTGCTACAGAAACATCATTTGTTACAAGAGCTCTCCACATAATGAGGTCAGTTTGGGATAATTACTTGTCTTGTATGTGGTTATGCTTTTCAAAAAAACAGGTCAGTACTACTGACATCTATCTTCTCTTTTTCCTTTTGCTCCCAGGTTTTTCCAACTCCAAATTCTGAATCATATGATATTGTTTAGAAGTTCATGTTTACCATTTTAAGTAAAATGACATTGTTCAAATAGAATGAAGTAGGTCTCCAATGTGAGGAAGTTCCAAGAGGAACTTGCTAAGTCTCAGCAATTAGATGACGTCATTTCAGACTCAAGTAGTTACTTTGCACGCAACATTAGCGTCAGTAAGAATTCTACCACTAGTTGGCCTGATTATGTATTAAATTTCTACCTTTTTATTATAACTGTTTCACAGGAGCCTTGTCCTATGCTGAATTGGGAACAAGCATAAAGAAATCTGGAGGTCATTATACATATATTCTGGAAGTGTTTGGCCCATTACTAGCCTTTGTGCGAGTCTGGGTGGAACTGCTCATAATACGGTAAGAACATAAGAAAAAAATAAGGAAAAATAAACCTCAGTCATCCTATTCTTCTGAGTGACTTGATTATTTTTAACTCATCAGAAATATGTATTTCATGTGCCTATGTTGTAAATGTGTATACTCAGCAGAGAACCTGTGATACATTACCTTTCTGGATTGACATTGTTAGTGTAGTTCTATCATTGGTAGTGGTTCAACAACACCACCAGACTTTTAAAGTACTGCTTACCTTTAATCTTTGATTATTCTCTTTTACTTTTCTAGGATAGATGCTTATTTGAAAAGATATGAAGCATCAAAATCCACCTTGATAAGTCTTACCTTTTGATTGACCAGGCACATCAAATAGGACAGGAATTGGAATTGTAGATTATAACATGAAGTTATTTAACTTTACTCTATTTTTATGACTAAGAAACATCTGTGCCTGAAAACAGTATCAGCAAATCTTATTCTTTAAAAAATTAAGTTTACATACCATAAATGACTCACTTCCTCACATAAACAGACCAGTGAACTGTAGTTGCGAAAATCTTTTGATTTTATTGTTGTAGGAATGTGTTCCCCTTCCTGATCTTCTTGGCACCAAATAATGCTAAGTCACTCTGAATAGCAGCTTTCCTTCGGCTTTGTGGGAGACTTATGATGTCATAAGAGTGTCACAGTCCCTTAAAGCTACTGCCTCATAGGATGTGACTTGCACTTTCTGATTAAAAAGCTTAATAGAAATAAGGAGGGAAACTTGCTCTTACTGTATACTTATCAAACATACATAGCTGAGAGCTAATGGGAGCTTTTATTCTGTCATTTACAGTAAGTGGCAAATGCAGAGCTAATGAATACCCATTAACACTAATCATGATCTTTATGGTGTTAGGAGTCTCTTTTCAAACAAAGGGCTTCTGAGTAGAACAAACTTCAATGGCAAGTCAGTCTATTCTCATTGCAAACATTTCTGCATTACTTAAAACTTCTTATAATAAAATAATGATAAAGGAGTATTTTATTTCTTTTCTCAGGTCCCCTTACCTGGGATGTACCTTCTGTTCCTTTCTGATTATCTGAGGCATACACTCTTCCAGGGCCAACTTATGTCTTATCTTTTTCATAGATAATTGCATGTTTATTCTAGTGGACAGTGTTTCTTTCATCTCTTAAATCTTCTGAAAGATGTGGTCTCTGCTTCTCACCTAACAATGAACTCAGCACCTGGTATTTTTTGACTCAGTATTTCAGGTGACTGTGTTCTGTTTCCCTGTATAAATTGCAAACGTTTCAAAAATATAAACCCAGGTTTTAACACTTTTTGTAGCTCTTTTTTTCCCCCCTTCTTGTAACTCTTATACTACTTACTTATATGAGTGCCCTGTATATACTGGATATAAATTGATACCTTAGATTCCTGTCCCTCTTCAGCATGCATTTGCTGTGTAACTTTGGCTAATTGCTTGGTATTCTTATAAGCATGATCATTCCATTTGCAGTTGCACAGATATGGTGCTCATTCATTAATTTATTCATTTCACAAACTGCTACCGAATGGTGAATGGCAAGATAAAGATATCTAAATTGGAATGAGTCACAATTTCTACTCTCAAATAACTGATAAATAGATGCTGTTTTAATTTTGAAAAAACTGCTTTACAGTGTGTGTGTGTGTGTGTACAGAGAAAATGACCTAGATAAATTCTAGAAGCTTTTCAATGTGTGTGTGTGTGTGTATGTGTACCAAGATATATATAGGTTAGTCATACAGGACTCCTATCAATGGAGTGATCTGTCAAATAGGCAGAAAACAAATGACTTGAGGAGACACAAGATACCTAAATAATTAGTTGTTCTTTTCTTTTACTAATACCCATGATACCAATATATTTCTTATTAAAATTATACATTAAGTTACCATTGCCAGAAATAATCTGTAAAACACATTCAAGGAAAGAAAAATCACCCAACAGTACATAGCATGACTCATTAAACTGAACTCAATCCTTCACAATATATTCAATATGTATTGTTCCTAATCCATGGCACACATTGCATTAAACAATAGGGGAAGAGTGGTTATTCAGGTAGAATAACTTTGTGCCCATAGAATTCAGGGTCAAGTGGGGGAATGGTTATCTATCAGGTAATCAAATAAGTGAATGATAAGAAGATATGGAAGAGAAATCAGGATTCAGTAAGAGTGTACTCTGGGGAGGCCTGACTCAGACAGAGGGTTAGAGAAGCTTCTCCGAACCAAGAACAAGTAAACCAAGATCTGGGCTGGGGACGTCCCTCAGTGATGGAGTACTTGTCGAGCATGTACAAGGTCTTGGGTTTGATTCCCAGTACTGCAGATAAAAAGAAACCAAAATCTGAAGTATAAAATATGGCCAGTGAGTTGAAGAGGCTCCAGGCAGAAGAAAAGAGATTTGGATCTCTCTAGTGGGAGGGAGCTGAATGAGGCCTTGAATACAATACAAAGCATTTCCATGTATCCACAGCACATTTTGAAAGTGTTAAAATGACATGATCAGATTTTAATTTGCACATTAAAATTTTTAATAAATGATGAAGAACAGGAAAAATAGTGTCATTTGGAGGAAAGAGGAGAGGGTCTCTAGGAAAAGAAGAAAATCATGAAATTTATGGTGCTATYTGGCACCCAAGTCAAGGTTGGAAACACAGAATGGTGGTGGGTTTCCTGATAATCTGGATCCGGCCTGGGCATTAGGTGACCAGAAGAAAGAGAAGCTGAAGGGGAAATTAGATGATGCATGTGTATGGAAAGAATATGCATTCATGTATAAATATGAGTACAATGGAAAAGTGTGTGTGATTTTCTCTTTCAAATATTTGAAGAATTAAACTAGAATAGTTTATTACCTGTGTTGCTATATACCATTCTGTGTTTCCAACCTTGACTTGGGAACCGGATAGCACCATAAATTTCATGATTTCCTTCTTTTCTTTGAGACCTTTCTCTCTTTGTGTGGAATTAAGAACAATCAGTTTGTTTTGAGGTTTTGTACTAGAAAGACAAGAAAAAAAACAATGCTAAGTATTTAGGCATGAATTTGCATTAATTTGCAAGGAACACTTATGAATGCTGATTTTTTTTTTTTTAGGTTGAATTTCGTATTCCTTCTTCTCACTATACTCCACTCCATTAGATCTATGCCATTAACAAATTCATACCATAGCTTGAGTTTTATTACAGACTTAAAAGAGAATGAAGACCAGTTCTTATAAGGAAGGCCCAGTCAGGGTCTCATATAATAACTTAAATTTTTATTTGTATTTGATTTTTTTAAACTTTTATTTATTTTTGGTAGTTGTAGATGGACAGAATGCCTTTATTTTATTTGTTTATTTTTGTGTGCTGCGAAGGATCGAACCCAGTGCCTCACACATGCTAGGCAAGCACTCTGCCACTGAGCTACAGCCCCAGCCCTAATGTAAATTTTTAAAGAAAAGTATCAAATGTTGGGAGAGCAGGGACAAAGTTGATAGTTCCCAGCCTTGCTCTCAAGGCTGTTTCAGAATAGCCACCAATGTTACAGGCACTGTGACATTTGGAACGCCTAAGTAAACCTAATGAAATATGGAATTCTTAAATTATAGACTTTCATTTTAAACACATTCTCTAAGTAGTAACACCTTCAGATAGAAAACTTGAACTGAAAATGCTGTTCATTTTTTTCCCTATAGTTAACCTAAATATATAAAAATCTGTTTAGCCCTGCAGCTACAGCTGTGATATCCCTGGCATTTGGACGCTACATCCTGGAACCGTTTTTTATTCAGTGTGAAATTCCTGAACTGGCAATCAAGCTCGTTACAGCTGTGGGTATAAGTGAGTATCACAGGTATAAACATGGGAGAGAAGAAAAGGCTTGTGCACAAAGTCTCTTTAGACGTTTTGTCTAGTGGCACTGTTCCCCAAATTATCTTCTTTTTTTGCTTACTGTTCCAAATGTGTGCCGGAAAACAGAAAAAAGAAGGCAGATTTGGAGTGGTCTCTGCTATTACCTTCTATGTCAGTTTGGCATTGGGTTGATATATACGATGGCCAATCTTTCAAAATAGACAAACAAAAATCACTTTGACAGTAAAATATTTAGTAGGTTGTACTTAAAAAGAGATTAAAGGAAGAAAACCCAATTATTTTGTAGATCTTTGTGAGTTGGAAATCATTCTACCTCCATGAAATATTGAATCCTAACTCATCCATGATCATGGAGTTCTGTTTCTATGTTGGGTGTGTCTGCTGCAGACGATTTACAGTGTTAGAGGCTGCCATCTCAGGGTCATAGTTTTTGATGCCTATTATTGGCCATGGTAAGAATTTTCTTTAAAGATTTTATAATTACTAGCACAATAGGAGATTTCTTTACAAGCTTCAAATTCGGAAGTTACTCATTTTTTTTTTTATCAGTGTGAATAGATTTTAGAAACTGAAAAAAAAGAGCAAGAGTCTCATGAACAAAATTAGCTAGGTGATAATGAAATCAAATCTGACTCTAACATCCTATCAGATCCCAAATACCAAATCCTTGAATGTCATGGGAGAGGATAACTTAATTCTTAATCATTTTGTTGTTTTAAGAATCAATTTGATTTAAATTTTAACAACTCAGAAATAGAGAGCTATATATGAATAACCGAATTTCATACTCATGGAAAAATGTTTAGGTGGTTKCTCTAAGGTGCTTCGATAGAACAATAAAAAGAACAGTGCATTTTTGACGACAGGTAAGTGGTTAGTTTGCAGGAGAGCATTAGGAATTTCATATAGAAATGTCTCAGATGCTAGATATATATATGTCTCTGAATTTAATAGGCTCATAGTGCATTTCCTAATTTGTCTTGCAAACATGTACACAGCTCTGTTCTTCTGTGAGAACTCTGAAAAGAAAAGAAAATTGCTCCAAGTTGACATTTTTCTCATTCTGGGGTGGTAGTGGTGTACCTACTTAATCATTGTGCCTTTAATAAACTCTACAGACACGAAGGCACGTCACTGTACCATTCTTAACTCAGTATTCTCAGTAAATCATGCCAGTCTTATAAGGTGTTGTGCAGATTAAGCGACAATGAATGAGACAATATATGTGAAGTGTTTGGGTAATGCTTGCAATTTACTAAGAACACAATACAAATGGTAGCTATTTATGCTTTTTTTTTTTTTTTTAAGTCATTGGAACTTCCATGAGATTAGGGACTTTAACATGGTTGTATTTCCAGCCCCTCACACAACTCCCAGCATGTGCTCAATAATTCTCCGCTCCTGATTGATTTTTATAAGACGAAGTCYAAGAATTGTTTCTCTTCTCTAGCAGAAAGGTCTATAGTCTGTATACTTGTTAACTCTGGAAGGTTGCATAGCTTCAATTACCTCAAGCAGTAGGGGAATTGCTAGTAAAATGAAATAGTTTGCTTGATAAGATGTTCAGATCTAGCACCGTGAGATTCTGTGGGACGAACCATCTAAACAGTGGCTCACCAGAACAAACAACCTGGAAGTGGAACTTAAATGTCACCATTTCTTAGTAATGTGATCTTGGGCTAATTATTAAACTTCTTTAAGCTTCAGTTTTATTTGTTGGTGAAAGGCCTGTGAAAAGATAATTAATCTTGAATGATTGTAGGGAAATGAAATTAAGTTAGATTTTTAAGACTTTGAACAGAGTACTTTGCCCACAGGAGATTCTTGATAAAGCTGGTATTCGACTAAGAGATTAGACTAACAGCCATTTTTATGCCCACAATATTCTTGTCCCCTAAATGTCTAAGACAGAATCATATCACAGTTAACATATGAAAATTGAGAAGAGAAAGAGTAGTATTTTTGAGAGCTATGTAAATTAGTAATCAAAGTTATTAAAAGCTACAAACAGAAGTCTTAAATCATAACCTATTTGTCTGTTTACAAATCTACAAACTTTGGCTGCTTTGGGCATGAAATTAGATGGTTAGTGATGATATATTTCTAGTTTTGTAAACTTAGATGACTTTCTTTTTTCTTTTTGTGGTGCTGGGGATCAAACTCAGGGCCTTGTGCATGCAAGACAAACACTCTACCCATTAAGCTATATCCCCAGCCCCTAGATAACTCTTCTATTTATCTAAGTTCCATTAAACTTTTTAAAGGGGAAATTTGTATTTTGGGAGATCAAATGGAAACTGTTTTTTTTTAAGTAAAGCAATTAGGAAAAAGGATAACCATGTGGGTTTTAGAAAACATCTATAGAAGAGTTTGGTGATAGAGTAGTTAGCAAAAAACCTGAGTAACTCTTGGATAAATTTAGACACATCCTTCTATTTTTGCCACTTGTTATAATACTAGCTTTTGAAATATTTTGTAAGATAAGCCTTTGTAAGCTTGAGCTTCTGACAAGGCCATGTGTTCCAACACCAGAGCACAAAAAGGGAAAACAGAAGGAATATTCCTGGACTCAGCAGGAAGTAATTTAAATCAATGGGCTAATTGGGTAAGTCAAACTGCCTTTAAGAAGAATTTGTTAATGGAGCAACAGGGGGTTAGATGGAAATAGAGAAAGAGAAATTTACCTGGGGGCAAATCTCTGCACCCTTTATTTTTCAAAGTGAACTATYGGTGGTTTTCTGTCTGTTAGGGGTGGGAGGTTACTGAGATGTAGAAAATAGTTTGATTGTATGAATCCCTACCCTATGTTCCTTGAGGGAAAGAAGGAGTTTAAAATCTCTAGTTAAAGATAGAAAAAGGTCAATCCTGAAGGGTCTTGTTATATCATAGTTAGAGTTTCAAATTTTGTGAAATATTAACCAACCATTGGAGAAATGATAGTGGATTGCGTGTGGGGAGCTAACTGAATGCTAATTTAAGCTCATTAAAAAAAAATATCCTATGTCACTTCTGTCAGATCAATAAAGATGGAAAGTTTTGGCTTATCTAAAATTCTGTCCTTTCTGGTAAACATGTCAGGCACATGTAAGTTTCACTGGAAAATCCCATTTGTTCACATTTAGTGGCTCTCTGATAACCCAATATGACATTACCCCATTTACCTTCCACAGAACACCATTTCTTTTCACTGCTCTTGTTGGTCTAATGAGCACTGAAGTATGTTCAATATCTAAATCATTGAGTCTCCTAAAACTAGGCCCCATGGACGTATACACTTGAATGGCAAAGCATTATCATAAAAAAACTTCTTAAGATGTGAGATCTAGTCCCAGATCTATCCCTAACAACCCTCTCCGGGTCTCAATTCCTTTGCTAGTTTATTTTATATAGATGAGTTAAGAACTGCATCCCCTTCTCAGATCTTGTGGGAGAAATTAGGAGGAGAAAACAAAATAACATTTATATTGCATTGTGGAAAACAGACAGTTCTGCAAATGTATAGCCTTGTTTTCCTTTTCAAAACTGTGTTTTCCTGACATGGTTAAATTGCATGACAAAAAGATTCCAGAACTAGTTGTGTGTCAGCATTTCAAATACAGCATGTGGGACGGCTCTTTGAATCTTCTGGAATCTGGGTGGAYCTACTCCTTCCCTACTGTAACTGAATTACCCACACAATCAATTCCTAGGTGGAAGATGTGCACAGTACTAAAATATACAAATGCTATGGACCAACAGCCATGTCCTGCAGGAGGATGATAAGTAAAATGTGACATGGAAGTGTCCTGAGGTCCCAGCTAAGGTAAAAATGTACCTAGGCAGAGAGGAAGAGCCACCATGAGAGTTTGAAAGAACTGTGTGTACTGGTGAGATCACATACAACTTTGAAGTATTATCTCCTTCTTTGAGCCGTGAGTAATGGTAAAAGTGTGGGCTCCAGAGTTAGCCCACCTGGTTTCCAATCTTATCTTTACACTTACCGCCTAAGTGCACATAGGCAAGTAAAACAGTATCTTGAGTCTCAGCTGCTTATCAGAAAAATAAGGCCAAGATTAAGCAACCATGTCATAGACAGAAGGATGAAATAACATTATCTATGTATAAAGTTCTTGTACAACATTGGCCATAATAGTATACATTTATTTGATGTTCACCATTTTTATTTCTGATYGTGAGATCTTAAAATACAGACTGGTTCTCTGAAATTAATGCATCCAGAAAGTGCATGCTAACTAACAAAGAACAAGAGGAAACCCAAGCAGCCACTACAAAAAAGCAATACAACTACCCACTTTATCTCACCAGGTAACCTATATACACAGCATTCATATATTTTATCAGTTTAGCATGAAGCAGTCAGAAGCCAAAAAAGAATCTGAACTGGTGAGAAAACCCAATATATCCAGACTCTCTAATCTCTCTCTTCAAACCCAACTTGAATTATGGAGCATGCAGAAAGAAATACTTTCCCGTCCTTAAATCACAGTGTCAATCCTTAACATTCCCCTAAACATCCTCTTCAAATACAGCTCCCTTCAAATATGTATTTCTTATCTCCAGGATTTATAGATGTGGCTTTCGTTGCTGCATTTCACTTCTTAGAAAACTGCATCATAAATAAGCAAATAAAAAGTACATGTCCCTGTATTTTTATTTTGGAAATTTGAGGCAAGCAAAAAAAAAAAAAAATCCAAACGGATATAATTATTTCCTCATGTGTGAAATTAGCAATCACTCAAAGGAAGGGAAGCTAGGGCCAGAGAACTGGCTCAGATTTCTTTTATTATCACAATATGTTTAGATAGCATGTATTTAAAAAAAAAAAGTAGATATTGTTTATTTCAGAAACTCAGAAAGCTCTTGCATTTTGTGAATCCCAAATCCCTGTTCAATATTGTTTGATAAGCAACATACACTGTCTTAGATTTGCTGTACAGACTCGTGATAAAGCAGCAGTTCTGGCCACTTGAGAAACTTTAGGGCTCTGCACTGGCTCTTTTGCATGTTAGGCTGTACCTTCAGGGCCAAAGAGGTACACCTCAGCTGGAATTTGGTGCACCAAATAAGGAGTGCAATGCCTGTAAGCTTTCTCAAAATCCTGTGAAAACAGGATTTTGAGAAAGCTTTGAGAAAAACCAGACTTAACCAGAATTTTTGTTTCAGTTGTTTAAGAAAAGAGCAAGATGTGATCATCATCAATTCATGAGAATGACTTGATTTGGGCCTCCCTTTGCCTAAGAAAACTATTTCTATTTTGTAAATAGAAAAGAAAATCCCAAATACTTATTTTGTTTTTCTATTTCAGTAGGCATTACTAACTACTTACACTCTTTTGAAGATTAACAGATCCTTTTTTCTCTTTTCAACTATATAGTGGCTAGATGTTCCTAAAATCAGAATGGCCTTTCGTCCTTCCTTCCCTTTTTTCCTTCTTTCTTTTCTTCCTATCACCTCTTTTCCACTTTCTCCACCCTTCTCTTTTCTACTGGGGTGTCCTTGCAGAGACAGAGAGCGCCTTTGGTTTGGGGAGCTCTGTTTAAAAGAAAACAGAACTCTTTTGTTGCTAGTGGGAACAGGAGATCATTTTTTTTTTCACTTTCTTGCCAACGTTGAGCCTCCTTAATTAAAAAAAAATAATAGTAATTTTCATGTGATGGCTCATTTATCACATGGGCATTTGCATAGAAAAAGATCGCTGGATGATGGAGAGGCCAGTAGAATTGCAGTAGATTACTTTCAGTATGGAAGTGATTTTTATTAGGGAGAGAGAGAGAGCTAATATTATTTATTTTTTGTCATTCCTAATAAAACAGCAGCACCTTTTGCCATTGACAATGGACCTATCTAATCTTTTCTGTCTGGGGCTTCAAATGTAGAGGAGGTATCTTCCCTGAGGCTTTGGTCATTCCAATCATGCTCCCCAGTAACTCCTTTAAAATACTTCCTCATTACTAACTTCCTATTTTACTTTCTATAGAGTCTTTGGATCCTTTATTTTTTTCCAGTGTATGAATTATTTTAAAAATGAAATTTATTTATGGATCTATTTATTAACAAAAATTCCATCTTTACAGAGGTATTCACAAAATTATTTTGTATAGTTTTTTTTTTTTTTTTTCTTTTGGGTGGTGTTGCTGGGGATTGTACCTAGGGCCTCATGCATATTAGGCAAAAGCTTACCAGGGAGCTACATTCCTGTCTGTATATAGGTTTTATGCGGTGTTTACCATCAAGTAACACATCAAGTTAGTTAATTCACTTATCACTCTATCACTTTGCCTAGTTGCTTCCTTTTTTTTTTTTTTTTTTAATTTGCTTTGTGGTGAGAACCTTTAAGCAAATTTTCACTTTTGTTAGCTATAGTCACCAAAATTATACATTTATTATAAAATGTACTGAAATATTATTGAAAAATAAATACAGATTATTAGTATTCTATCATCTATAGATTTTGCTATTAATGTTTTGGTAAATATTCTTTCAGATGTTTTTCTTTACTTTTTTTTCTATATTTATCTATATGTCTATCTTCTTAACCTACCTGTCCATCCATCCATTCATCTATCCATCTCTCTGTAACATACTGTCTTGATCAGTAACATGTTGTAAATAACCTTTTTTTGTAATAATTATATAATTGCAATATGATTTCAAATGGCAGTATAGATTTATTAAAAGGATACACATTTAAAAGTTTAGGTTGTTTTAAAATTTGCCTTTAAGGATCTACGTTGTTTTAAAATTTTACCTTTATAAATTATGTGTTGATAACATTTCGCTAATTTATGAACACTGAAATGAGCTAATGATCAGGCAGTAAAACTGAAGAGAACTCTTATTAATGTACATAAGGAAAACTTCCAGTTGCAATTTGAATTATAAAAATTCTGTCACTGTTTTATTTCATCCCCTGAGAAATAGTTTAGACATGCATCTTTATAAAAATAATGTTTATAKATAATAACCATAAATGTCAGGAGGAGAGTAACTATTTTGATTTATTTTTGATGTCTTTGTTGATGTTGTTGTTTTGGGATTGGTTTTTGTTTGTTTGTTTTTGTTAACACTATGTAAAATAATTTGGAAAGAGCATAACATTGAAATTCACTGTCTAGTATAACCTGTCATTCCAGCYGGCTAGAGGAAGAAGGTCTTAGAGCATCTCTATACACCATGTGCCTTAGATTTCCTGAGAATACAATTCATCCATTCATTCAGCAAACATGTGTTAGTTACTTCCATGGACCAGGCATGGAACTAGATTTTGGAAAAATAGAGATGAATAACCCATGTTCTCTCTTTGAAGTTTTCATGGTCCACAAGGTGGGGTGGTGATTGCAGCTTGGGAAACTGTGGGCAACATCATTAAGAATGGGAAATTATGTTGGCTCAGGACCCAGGGTGCATCCTAATCTGAAAATTCTTATGACATTTTACTCAAGTCCTAAAATGATTGTTGGGTAGGCTAGAAGTCAACCTTTCATGTGAGAATTGTAATTAGAGAAAAACTAGAAGAAGAAGGCTGAGAGTGAAGACTAAGATCTAACTTCTCTACTTTTTACTCCTTCTTGAATGGGAGCCACTTTGGTGCCATAACCTAGAGAGGACACTGTTGCCAGGTGAAGCTAAAAAGTGAAGTTCAGCAATTTGTGCACTGTGATGGCTGCAGGATTTGGTAGTACAAGATATTTTGGTTTGATCATCAGAGCCCTACACTATACATCCATTCTTAGAGACATAYGCAAAGAACAGAGAGAAATTCTGTTTAGAGGTTTTATCCAAGCTTCTAAAGTTTAGTGTGCATAAAATCACCTGGAGATTTTGTTGAAATGCAGATTTGCATTCATTAGGTCTGGGGTGGGCCCRAGATTCGGCATTTCAGCATTTCTAAAACTCTTACAGGTAATGTCAACACTGCTGGTTTGTAGACCTCTCTTTGAGTAATGAGAACCTAAGATATCTTTGTGCCCATGAGGGTTTGCCTTTTGTAACTTTGACTGTTTGTTTGCAGCTGTGGTGATGGTTCTAAATAGCATGAGTGTCAGCTGGAGTGCCCGGATCCAGATTTTCCTAACCTTTTGCAAGCTCACAGCAATTCTGATAATTATAGTCCCTGGAGTTATACAGCTAATTAAAGGTATGGACTGAAAAGTAAATGCTTTTTAAAATACGTATCTGCTTTTGATCTCTTCTAACACTAACTTTTGCTTGTACTAGCAGAATCCTTAATTAGTCTTTGCTCATGGAACTTAAACTCTAGACTGTCATCTAATTGATTTGAAAGGTTGCTACATTGGGGTGAGTTGGTATTTACTGTTGAATGGCAGCAAGAGGATTTGGGCCAAGCATTCAAACAGGGCATCAGTGAATTCTATTCATAAAAACTGGAGTGAAGATCCAAAGCAGGGAAAAATCTGCCAGTAACTTTAACTACAGATAAACGCATTCTTTCACTTTCATTTTAAAGTTGTTCAGTAGCAGTAATAAAGATGTTAAGAGAAAGATTTTTGGAGAATAATGAAAAATATTTTATATAATAATGAATATGAAAAATAATTTTATTATTTTTATTTTATTATTTTCTGGTTATTATTTTTTTCTATCTTCAGAGTGATATCCTCAGAAGAGGAGTCAGATATGTGAATGATATTCCTAAAAAACAAATATTTATGGGATGATCAAAACAGTTGTAAAAATTTAACTTCTATGGTTACGTTATTTTTCATGTAAAACTTGCTTTAGTACAGACACATCATATTTTCTGGATATTATTTAATAAGAACAGAAGTTGAGGAGGGGATGTCATTTGGAGTTTTAGTGGTTTGGGGAGAGAAGTCATATGCCATTGCTTGAATTCRTTGGAAATGGTTGGCAGGGAAAGAGGTTATTTAATTGGCCATGGGCAACATAGTAGAAAATAACGGGAGAGAGAGAAGAAATTGTGAAGAGGTGACATATACCTTGGGCATGTTAAGTATTTAGTGTTTACACTGATATTGTTTGTTCCAAGAAAGGGCATTCATAGAGAAGTTCCATGACGTTGCAGAAGAACCGCAGTAAGGCAAAGGGAAATGCTAAATTCAGCCAAGTCATTGCTCTCTGTAGAGGCATCAAATAACAACAAATGTCGAAAGACTGGTCGCTCTGCAGCTGGGAAAGGGAGCAGCTGCTGTCCACTGAATAAGCCTGGTGGGAGATCTTAGAGTCCTGCTGGCAAAATCCTTCCATCTTCTCCAGCAACCTCAATCAGCTCAGAACCACACACCACGCAGACGGAATCTTCTGAGGAGACCAGTTGAGCTTGCTCTGTTAATTTCACCTCAGCCTCCACAGAGCTGGCTTGCACATATTCTGTCTCGTTCCTTGGGAATAGTAGGCCAAATAGCCTGTTCTGTTCTCACTTTCTTCTTCTGTAATGAGTTCCTTCATGGTTTGGAAAGTACAGAAATCCCTGCTCACCAATCCTGGTTTAGTTCTGGTTTAGATTCCTAGGTCAGATGGTCTACTAGATGGGACTCATTTTTTTTTTTTTTTCTTTTTCTCTTTGGTGAAATGTCAGGCATCGTAGGTAGCACTGTAGTCCTTAGTCAGTCTTAAACACTTAATTATATACGTGTATGAAAAGTGGGGTTTGACTGACCAAATGTATTGCAGGTTCCTTGAAACCACGGGTCAAAATATAGCTCTTGGGGTGTTTCTGGCAATTACAATGGAGTGATATTTTCATTAATACTTATGGCATCAATGCTTCATATGACCAGGACTCTTCCTAGTTCTCCAACAGAGAAGTCATCTGTGAATATTATCACGAAGCAAATTTGAATATCTTGGAGAGCCTTCTTAGCAGATACATTTTCTCTATTACTATAAAATTATAAAAAATCGTGATTTTCTTTGTTTCTAAACTAATCACGTATTTTTTCACTCATCTGAGACTGCAGGGGGAGAACGACTTCCCTGACACATATTGCACATTCACTTTTACTCTAATCAGATGCTGAAAATAATTGAATGTTGTGTATTCACTTATGAGGACTTGTTGATCTTTCTTTTGAATATTATGACTTTCATCTTCCCGAGACCTCTGTTATGCAGCCAAAATATTCCTGAAGTTTAGAAATAAAATGCCTCTCTTTTGTAGCACTCACAAAATGGCACTTTTGAAGGCYTGTGCTTGGGTGTCGGCCTTCGCAGAGGTTTCTTCTTTTCATCTGGTCCTGCGCTCTTGAGTGTTGCTGTCCCTTCAGGCCCATCATGACAGAAGTATGCTCAGCAGATGCTTTTGTCTGAATTCCAGTATTTATATTTTCTTTCTGTAAGGACACAGAGATGTCTTAGTTAAACAGGCATTTCTGATTCACTCTATCATTTAAAAAAAAAATAAGTTATATTTGGAAACTGGTTACTTTGAGGGGAAAATAGCGTAGCATACAACTCCGCATTCTCTGTTTCGAGTCCCCAAACTCACTCACGGTGTGTCATCATAAACATCCTGTCTGGCAGTGCAAGCAACAGCTGAGATTTGACTTGAAAGAGAATGTCTTCTACATCAACCATCTTCCAACCTACTTTTGTTTGTTTATATAAGGACTGACTTTGAAACAAAGTCATTTCCCATTTAGGTTATCTCATTTGCTATTTTTTTTTCTGCTAAAGTTTAAATATCAGCTCACTAAAATTAGTTTGAATTTATGATTTTTTTTTGTGTGTGTGTGTGTGATGCTGGGGATTGAACCCAGGGCCTTGTGCATGCAAAGCAAAGCAGTCTACCCACTGAGCTATATCCCTAGCCCTGAATTTCTGATTTCTGAACTACATAAAAGATTAACAAGAAAAGGATCCTCTGCAATTTTCAAAATAGAAAAAAAAAAGTGATGAACAAAAATCTTCTTGTTAATGCAAAATTTGTTAAAACATAGTTTAGAATTCAGTGTTTCTAAATGAAAACTGTGATGTTGGGACCATGTTAATGAACTTTCTCTTTAAAGAAGCAACTGGTAGGCAGGTGTGGTAGTGCACACCTATACCAGTTACTCAAGAGGTTGAGGCAGGAGGATCATAAGCTGAGGCCAGCCTCAGTAACTTAGGGACAATTTGTCTCAACATAAAAAGCTTAATTCAGTGGTAAAATGCCCCTGAGTTCAACTCCCAGTACCTCTAATTAATAATAATTACAATAGTAATAAAAAAAAAGGACCCGCTAGGATATGCTTTCAATTTTGTGGGCAGCATAGTCTCTGTTGCGATTACTCAATTCTGCTGTCAGAGAGTGAAATAAACCACAGACGATACACTTAAATGAGTGGGCATGGATGTACACCAATAAAACTTTATTTTAAAAAGAGGCTTGTAGGTTGGTGTGGCAGATTTGGTCTGCAGAGTTTTCAACCCCTGTTCCAGAGGCTGGTGTCTAATGGTCTGCATGGGACAAACAGGAAGTTAAAGACATGGGACAGCCACTCTGGAGTGTCTCCCTGCCTCCTCAGTGGAGGCACACCCTTGGATATTTCTTTGCATTTCTTCCCAAGCATTGGAATCCTAAAAACCAAACTAGCCCACTCCTAAAAGCTACAGTTCACAGAAAATCCTTCCGTCTTCTTTCATGGTCCAAGTATGAGCTCTCTTAAACAAGGGCTGGTTTTTAAGATGTCATCCTGGCTATGACATGATTAGAAGAGAAACATGAAATTGTGTGGGTGGTGATCAATGTACCTGTGGGACTTGTTCTTTAGCTTGGGTACACTATTAACAGGTAAAGTTGGCAACAAGTGGAGAGTGAGTGATTAGGTCTCTTTTCCCAGGGACGATGGTTAGAAGAAATAAAAACCAATTCTTTGTAAAGCTCTAAAGTCTTTCTATTCTAATTTCAGGGCAAACCCAACACTTTCAAGATGCCTTTTCAGGAAGAGATGCCAGTATTATGGGGTTGCCCCTGGCTTTTTATTACGGAATGTATGCCTATGCCGGCTGGTAAGTTGATCTCTCTGGATTTGAATGGTTTGTATGGTCCATTGATTCCTTCAGGTTCTTAGATTAAATGTCAAGCAGGGTGCCAGGCGAATGAGGGAGGCTGTGCTCCAGTGTTATATGGTACTTGAAATGAGAAGTCTGGTTGGTCTCCTGCACGAGGCCGGTTACCCTGCACATGACTTAATGCAAAGCTGGTGTTGGAGGAGTGGAAAAGTGTGATGCTTTCCTTCAATGAGCCTGAGGACCATGGTCAACACACCTAGGACAGAAGACAGGTTAAGAGAAAAGCATGTCAAGTGACTTATCCAAAGTTGAAGACGACATGGGAGTGCTCAGAAATGAAGACCCCCAAACTCAGGGAAACCTGGCTATTGGTACATGAGGTAATGGTAATAGATGGAGAGTGGAACCCAGGAAGTCCTGCCTGTCCACCCAGGTTCTTCGTGGAGTCTCCAAATAGCATCCCCTGCCCCTGCCCTCCCCAGGGGTTCAGAGAAGGAGCCCTTTGGAACAAGAGTCTTGTGATCTACTCTCAGACAAAGTTGATCAGGGCATTTCTTTATGTCCAGCTCCTAAACAGAAAGGCAGAAGTTAGAGTAATTTTCTAGGTCGTCTGGCTTGTTTGGGGGGAGGAGAGGAGCCTGGGATCCCCCTTGGAGAAAAGAATTGTAATGTTTATGGCTGGCCTTGGAAGGAAAGGAAACCCAAGAAAGAAGGGTGGGAAGAGGTCAGAGAGATCTTACTTTTGTGGCTGTTTGTTTCCTTCAGTTGAGAGCACTCAGCCTGCCAAGGCTCAGAGTTTCGGGTATTGTTTTCTAAGCCCCAACACCATCAAGGTCACTACCAGATTTAGCCCAGTGTCATAAGAAACAAACAAATACTGGGTCTTCAGAGCCAGCATAAATCACTTATAATTATGTATCCGTGGGGACAGAACGGTGCCATTAGGTACTGAAGATTAGAACTTGGCTTGTCAAAAGGTCTTTCAGCTGAAGCTCCAAGGATATTTACAAATAGTGATTAATGAACTTTTTTTCTACTTTCTCCTGAGAAAGAAAAAAATTCTGATACAGAAATAAATGAGGCATTCCCAGGAGGTTATAAAATGCTTTCCTAAAGGCAGGAAGGGAGAAACCAAGACAATAAAATCACCTGTACCAGAACATGTGTAACATTTTAGTGGACCTTAGAAATTCATCAGAATGTCCCCAACATCTGAAAATAAAAGTATGCTACAAAGATGATTAAATTCATGTTGCCGCAGATAGCAGATATGATTCCTTTGATTGGGGCATTGGATAACAATACTCATGAATCAATATGGAACTTTCCCTAACTAAATTTTATTTATCTAGTAAGCTTTAATTAAAATGACAGTTTTAAGAAAGCTCTGTAGGCACACCCCCCAAAAAAACCATTTAAACATCCAAAGCAGTGTGGTAAGATTAACTTTCATTGTTTTGGAGTAAATCATGGCACCATTTTGTTTACTTATTTATAACACTAACAGACAGCTTTAGCTATACGAACRTTCTAGGACCTACAAAATAATACCAGGAAACTTCACTAGCTCAAAAATTATGTAAACACTTTTCAAACACAAATATAACTTCCTTTTGTTTCTTTAAGCTTTTAGGCTCCTAACTTCCATCTAATGCAGGGAAATATAAAGGTATTTCAAAATAAATGTACCTACTAATCTCACTGAATTATGAAAATATGGCATTAGAGGAAAAGGAAGAGCATATAGCGACTTAAAACTTTAGCATGGCTTTGAAGCAAAATATGATTGAAGGTTGTTTGAAGATTGTAGCTCGGAGACCGGTGTGAAAATATTTGTATATTCCCAGAATATTTTTACAGTCATTGTGTGTAAGCATTGATCGCTCAGTGTTTTTGAAGTCCTTTTACTTTTGTCCAAAGCACAATGTGGTGCTAGGCAGAGAAAAGAACCGAGTGTGATCACAGGGTTAGAGGCTGAGTCGACTCTTCCCTGTCCATTCAGCCTCAGTGAGAGCTAGTGGCCTGGGGCAGCCGCCAYGCTACTCTGAGGGTCTCTGGAAGCCTCAGCGTGGAGTGGGGAGGTGGCAAAAGCTTTCAGCCACAGCCAGGCGCCGGGAGCCTGGTGGTACTCTGTCAGGAATGTGGAATGTGGAGATCATCACCAGAGAGATTTGATTAATTCTGTTGAATGGRGTTCTCTTGCCTGGGAGTCCCCTGCATCTGTTCCCATGGAATCTTAAAAGACTTCTCTCCTCACTCCTCCACCACCTGGCTCAATATTCTGGTCACCTGCTTTATGTGGTGCCAGGTCCCTCCACTTCTGAGTCTTTTGAGGGCCAACAGATTTGTCCATGTATAAAGAGTCTTTTCATTTCTAATTATCTGATTAATATTGAGTTTTGTTGATGCTGAACCCCAAATATGACTCTGTTTACAGGATGGAAGTGTTTTCTGAAAAGCTTTGTACTCTCATCAGAGAATCCTTGTGTCTACTCCCTATTTGAAAGAGGAAGAAGCTCCCAATTTCCTCCTATTCTTGAGGGTTCAATCAGAGTGTTGGAAGATAAGTCCAGGATTTCAATGTAGGAGACAGAGAGTGACTGTGCTTCTGTGATGGGTGGCTACACCATCGGAACACTGCTTTCTGGAGAGGGTGGGAATGCTCTGATGGCTGATGTACAGCTATCAGTCTGAGAAAAAAGGATGCTGTGTGTAGGAAAATAGTCTATTGGTTTGGAATTCTAGAAGAAAAGTAACTATCAGATGCAAGTGGAGAAGACAGAGGCTAAAAAAATTCCCAAATAGAGAGGCATTGATTCACTTTCTAAATGTGAGTCCGACCATATGACAGCTCCATCTTTCATGATGTGACTCTACATGCGAGTCTTAAACGACTCGGACATAGAATCATAAATAGGGGACCATAAATGAGCCACTTCCTATATTGCTGCTGGGACAATGTTTAACCAAAAAAAAAAAAAAAAAAAAAAAAAGGAGGCATTGCAGATGAGGCAGACAGAAGCAAAGCATCTATTGTCACCAAGGTTACTGGCCAGCTTCTTAGCCTGTCCGGAAAAGCAGCAAGACCACTGTTGTCCTGGGGACCTTGCTCGGCTCTGAGCAGTTGAATAGGAAAAAGACACCTCGGAACCTTGGAGAACCTGAATAGAATCAACTTTGGGCTCTGAGGAGCACAGAACCTTTCCAGAATGATGAAAACTCCTTCACAGAAACATGATTAGGGGAAAAGGAATCATTAACCCGGCGAGGTCGCAGAGTTGGGTCAGAACAACTTTAATACGGTTGCCAATATCTGCATTCAGAGAAACACATCTGCCAGTCCCCCTGTGGCTCTGGGGAACCAAACCAATTTCCATCCCATATCTTGATCCAAAGTTAAATATTGCTTGGTGGGATTTTTTTTTTTTTCCTAAACCGTGAGCCAGAAAGTAGTTTTTCAGTTGTCTTTTTTTTCCTCCCTTTTAAAGCTTATCCTCAATGGACTTAGACTTTCTAAAGCACCTGCTGGGATTATTTTGTACCATTGTGTCAAATCTAATCTACAGAATAAGCTTCTTTTAAAAMTAATTCACATGGTTGGGTATTGGAATGTGCTGCTGGCATTACAGAGCCTTTTATGCACAATCATGGAAAAGCTGAACAATAGATTCTGTAAGCATCTCTGGAGGCCTTGAGGAGATGGAATGCCCAAGAATTCTGTGGACTCAGGGCTGGAGATCACAGAGCATAAAGGTCTATTTCCCACAGGATGTGATGTTTGGACTAAAATAAGAAGCTTTCTCCTTCTTTTCCTCCACTCTGCCCCAGATCTTTCCTCCTTTCTCTTCTCCTTCCCTCTCCTCCTCTCTGCTGTTCTCTGGAATCATGGAAAACACTTGAAGTTAAATTCTTTCTTCATAACTGTTTCCCTTCTTGCTTTAATATTGTTGGAAAAGACTCGTCTCTAAAGCAACCTTTAAGAAGAAACTGGCCATCTTTGACATAAGAAATCTAGAAACAGTTCTTCATGTGTGATTTTTTTTTCATTTTCTTCCTGTACTTCCTATTGCCTGAGGCTTATAACAAGCACATCAAATCTCTCTCAAAGAACATATTCCAGATATATGCACTGACTGTTGCTCACTTTCCTAGTATAATGACAACCTCTATTTTTAGAAATTTAACTTTCTAGTCATTAAAAAAATGTCTTGGCTACTGACCTTTCATATCGCCTTTATCGCTACTCTTCTCTCAGTGTTTCAAACAGAACTACTTAAAGCATAGTCCTTCCAGTTGCTGGCAGCTTCACCTTGAACGTCAACTCCTACTTGAGAATTTAGATAAGGTTTCCATGAAGATGGAGCAAGACAGGTTTCCTCTTCTTTCTTTTAGGCTGTGAGGTAAGCACATTAGCTGATGGGCTAATATTCCAGCCATCAATTTTAGAATGTAGAGACTTTGTACATCAAGACCTGTGCTCCTGTGTACCCATGTAAAAAGTTATTTTTAATCTGCTGCAAAATAAGATATCAGGAGTAGGTTGAAAATATGATTTCCTAGTTAAATGAAGAGAGAGCTAGTTCTTTGTTTGTTTAGTTCTTTTTCTTTTCTTAATGGTCCCTTAGTTTTGCCATTTCCATGGTCTAGTCGTCTACTCTGCTTACTTCATGATGGAATCGGCCTCAGCCTTACATTGTGAAAACCGAGTAAAGAACTATGAGGGCTTTAAAGGCTGGCTAGCAGTCAGTTCAGATTACAAAASAAACTCCAGGATTCGAATGCTAGACAATCCCGTATGGGATTGAGAGAGTCACAGAGTGAAGGAAATTTCCCCAGGGCCCTGAAATTTGGGTAATACTTGCCATCCTGTGGAGCTTGAAAGGAACCTACTGTGTGCCCAGAATATTTCTTCTCACGGAAAAAGACCCAGAAAGTGTTGTGGATTTAAAAATGTACAAAATCTCCTGCTCTTTAGTTGGTGATTTATGGTGCAAAGACTACGGATGTGCCTGAAATTAACAGGCCTATGTGGAAAAAAATGAGAACAGTCCTGCGACGTGAGGTTATTTGGAACATATTAACCTGAAAGGAAGACGTGTGAATTGAGGATTTATCACATTTTTATTTTTTAATTACAAATCGACARTTAGAGTTGTATATGTTTATGGGCTATAAAGTGATGTTATTATTTATGAATACTATGTGGAATAATTAAATGGAGCATATTGACATATTCATCACCTCAAATATTATTTTTGTGGTAGAACATTTGAAATTTACGCCCCACCCCCCGAAGTTTTGAAATGTATATTATTCTACCATTTGTGGTTCCAACTTGTACACTGTGTTTCTGTCTAGGAAGTCAATAACAGTTCCCTAAATCTAGAAATGCTACTGTCTTATAGCACTGTAAGTTTTGCTATGTGTCTCCACTTCTGAATTTGGAGGGGGCAAAGGCCGTCTTATAAGTTCTCTTCCCATTTCCTCTGCCACACAAGAACTGCAGAATACTAGACTGTTGCTCCTGTCATTGGGCATAACCACCTTGACACATTTCTGTACTCAGCCGGGAAGACCTCAGGCCTCCTCACCAGGGCTACCACCCAGGGGTGTTAACCACTGAGCCACACCCCCAACCCTTTTTATTTTTAATTTTGAGACAGAGTCTTGCTAAGATGCTTAGSRYCTTGCTAAATTGGTGAGGCTGGTTTTGCACTTGTGATCCTCCTGCCTCACCTCTGGAGTCACTGGGATTACAGGTGTGCACCRTTGCACCCAGCCTAAAAGTTAAGAGTTCTTGAAACTCAGGTTGGGGGATGCGTCCTCTAAAAATCTCCCCTTGACCTCCCAGGCTGGGCTTAACTCCACCCCTGGCTCCCATGTGCTTGCATTGCAGAGAAACTACTGGATTTTCCACTCTCAGTTCCCTACTGTTCAAGTTAGAAGCACTTCACGTGTGTGGCTTAATAGAAAAATAATCTATGGGGGTTTTGTTGCTAGATATTTTCATTGAACTATAAGTATTTTTAATGAAGTTTTCATAATCTGTGTTCAATTTTAAATATTTAAAATGTGAAACTTTGGATTACAGTGGTAAAATATATTAATAGTTGCTAATTTGYATGCTTTTAGGTTTTACCTCAATTTTGTTACTGAAGAAGTAGACAACCCTGAAAAGTAAGTAGCCATATTTACTCTGAAATTTTTATGAGGAATAAAATGTAAGATTACCTAGTTAAAAAAGCAGAGCCAAAGAGGGAGTTTAGTGGGGGCCAGTTACCACCATCATCTTCACCACCAATGTCATTGACATTATCTTAGGCACATACAATTTATTTGATTTTATCATAAATTATGTGTAAATAACTTAATTATAAATTGTATATTCAATACTATTTCCTTATAACCTAAAAAAGAATAGAGTTGTATCTTAGTAACCTGTCTTACATAAACACATACAATGAACTTGATATTAACTCTCAGACACAAGTGTAGCTTGAGCTCAAAAAGTTCTTATTTCTAGTAATACATGTTCTTTTTTTCATAACTATTTGATTAAATAAAATAATGTAATTAATGGAAAAGAGTTATGAAAATACATGTAGCATATCATAGGAACTTGTGAATTTGGAGACCTGAATCATTATTTTTCCTTTTCTTTCTAAATAACAATGTGATGATTGGATAATTGAATGGTGATTTACATAATGTTTCTAACACAGGCTAAGAAATATGAATTAATATTATGTTTTGTGCATAAACATTTGACTTTGTACAGAAAAACAACGTGCAAATTTATTGGGAAAAGAGGGAAATTTTAATAAGCAGAATGCAAAATATAAACTCTAAAGTTATTTAATTTCATCTTACTTTTATTCAATACCTGCTGTGCTCCAACCRTGTTGGAGCATCTTCCATGATAGATGAGGTTTGTCTCTGAAGATTTTATTTTCTATTCAATGAGTCAAAGCTGTAAACAAGTAAAGGTAGCAGTGTGGTTGATACCATAGTAGGGTACTTCTTCGGTGTGGCAGAGAAGAAAGGAGCAAGTACTTGACCCTATCTGGAGGGATGCTGCTAATGCAGAGTCTTGAATGAATTAGTAAGAGTTTCCCATGTAACTAATGAGAAAGAGAAGGGRGTAGAGGTTGCTTGACTTCTAGGAAAACGAGCAAGTACAAAGGCAGGTCCGCATGAAATAACCTGGACATCAGAGAAGATGCCTAAGGGTCAATGCAGATAAGATGGACCAAGGAATTCTGGCACCTGGTGTATTGGGAGGTAGTAAACTGTTGGGAGATGGCTGTCAGGAGGTAGATCTGGCCAGGTGAAGGATGTCAGACACAGCCAGCAATGAATGCTAACAGGATGCTTCACTATGACTGACTCAACTGTTGTGCAAACCAATATGTAATATCATTGTGGAGAAAGCTACTTTATTCAGACATGTGACCAACTTATTATAGTATTGTCATATTTATAACTGGAATTGAAGGCAGAGAACACACTATTTACCAGGAACCAGTTTTAACATTACCTGGAAATGATAAACTAACTTATGACAGTAAAATCTAATGTTTACAGAAAAAATAGGTGAAGTACTTGAGAATTATTAGTGTATAAGTGGAGACACAGAGAAAAGACTGCTCTTAACTAGATTTTACATAAAATATTTATTGGATTTCCCATATGTGAAAGAAATAACTATATTAAGACTGTAACTTTTGAATCTGAAAACATTTTAAAGAGACGCACTTCTAAAATCTAATGTAAGGGAATGTTTATTATGGAAAAACATGGCAAATTGTAGGTTTATAGACCTACAACATAACATKTATTACAATAGTACTTCAGAGATGTAGTTCAAATTCTTTTTTAGTGTTACTTTAATTTTATTTGCCATGTATACATTACTAATGTGTACATCAAGTATATTTTTAAACTCTCTCTGCCATTGTTACTATCTGAATTTTGGATATATTCTATCAGAGTGCCTTGCCAGTCAAGAATTCTCTTTAGTTCTTTTCTTCCTTAATTTAATTTCATTTCTTAGTTTCTCACACTGATAATGTCCATGATTCAATGTATACAAATACTAAGGAATAGTGATAGTGATGTGATTCAGTGTTTTGTTTTGTTTTTCTGTTGCAAAGAAATTTTCTTATCTCAAAAAACAGAACAACAGCACGTACCTCTCTGGTTGTGTTGGTAAGTCAATATGTATCAAGTACTTAGATTAGTGATTGTCACTTTTTCTCTACATTATTCTTTTTACTACTGTTACTGATATATTCTTATTTTAGAGAAAGGTAAACTGTTATTCAGATAATAGTATTATCCAAGTTTCAGTATTCTAAGAAAACATTTTTCTTTAGTGGTTTTGAAAGAAATATAAAAAATTATAGCATATCATATTGAAACCTATGCACTACATTTTCAGTACTGAAGTTGACTATGCATTTCCTGATCTCTCTGATTCTTGGGTACGGATTTCATTGGCATTTTATATTTAGAGAAAACAAGCCTACCATTTAAAAGGAAAAACATGAGCTATATGAGTTTTATAATAATTTAAAACTAACAGTAAAAGCAGAGTTTATTACTTGTGATTATATTAGATGAGATATTATCAACTTCTGGAAATTTTCATTTTTACAAACTTCATGAAATTTATCTAGAACCCTTTTAAATTTATATACTTTCTTAAGGTCTTAAGCTAAGGGACTTTTGGGGGAGAGGGAAGAATCTCAGTTTTGAGGTCAATGTAATGAGCAACAGAGAAACAGCTTGAAGAGAGAAGCCTTTGACGACTTTTCATTCTTTCACATTTGAAAACCCAAATAGTTAGTTCCTACATGAAATATTTTGTGTAAAACTTAGCTGACACATTTATTTTCTCAAAATTAAAATATAGGAAATGCACAGAATCTCCTTAGTATACAGTCAAGGTTGATGTTGTGTTATGTATTTATCAACCAAACTAACTCAGGGTTTGAGCATTTGCATTAGTCTTAATTTTGAAAATGACATCTCCTGACAATGTTAATGATCAGTTTAGGTCTTTAAAAACTGAATTTTATTTTTAAAACACAGAAAATACTTGGGGAGACATTTAGGGTAGACTGTTAAGAACAGATGGTACAATCATGTGGAGCTAGTCCAGATGCGTGATTTGTATTATTTTGTAGGTAGATATGGCTCCAAAATACCTTTAGTAACGAGGGAGAATAATTACAATCCCATCTCCTTTGTGACGTGCCAAGATAAATGTGTTTCCCCATCAGTCACGAGCCTGCATTTCCAGGTGTGCTGCGACTTGCAACTTTCTGGCAGCTGGTGTAATGAATCATCAGCCAACGATACAACACCTTTCACTATCCTCCTCCATGGAGGCCATAAAATCTCCCCCAAATCGTGACCTAATGGAAAAGGTGGTAATTAATTTAGGTTGGTGAAAATAGCAATGTGATTTAAAATACATAGAATGCAGAGTCAAGTTTCATAATCTTGATCGACTACCCTGTACATGTAATTTCATTTTGAGAAATCTTTCAAATTACCTAACATTACTCTATAAAACAATTTCCGAGTTGCTATTAAAAACTTGCCCTCAGTGTTGTAACAAGGGAAAGAGAGAGGAACTTGGACAAGAATCTCTGTTCATGTGATTACATTTATAACATTGAGACGTTTTCCCAGGCCTTGCTTAAAATATTTTTTTTTTCTCCAAAAGTAGCTTTGGATTTATGGGAATAGCAATCTTTCAAGTATAATAATCGCCATTGAACTTTTATAATAACATAAGGATATTGCCTTTAATAATTATCTATAGCATGGTGACTGTCTCCACATTTGAATGTATTAGAATAAGATTAGTATTTTGAAGGATATGAATGTCTAAAGTTTATAACGTGAAGGTCATAGAATCCCAAGGAATATCTAAATTTAAAAAAATGCCATTGTTTCTCCATATGGCATGTATAGTAATAATGACTGAATATATACTTTAAAAAATTAACAGTGTTTTTGCAAATATATTGAGTTTTGCCTTATGACATTTTTTTGAATATAAAACCCATTATTTGAAAAGTTATACAGTGCAAAGAACATATAATTAAGATGTATGTTTATAGTCCCGTTCTTAGATTGATAAATTGTGTCTTGTGTTGATGAAAGCTAAGAAATGAATTGCTTTTCTTTGACCTTGGGGGTCTGAGATTAGTCAGTCTGTCTATTAGACTTGTTCCCCGTGTTCTTCTCACTTCATTTATTCCTTCTGTTCTGAAGACTTGGAAATAGTAGACTTAGAGGAAGTCAGTAAAGCTTGATATCATCAGTCATTTTTGAAGAGCAGGCTATCAACATGCTCTGAATAATCAACTTTAATAGAAGGTTTAAATAATCAGAATGTCATGTTTAATTAATACTTTGCCTGCTTCCAATTTATATTAATTGATGCCTCAAAGTCATCACACCTTGTACCAGTGATAACTTAGAAAATGAGAAACTTGGTTGGGAMAAACCCTTAGGAGACCTTTAAGGCAGTGTGAGAGGTCAGATTGAACCCAGTGGTCCCAAAACAATCTTCTAGTTTGCATTCAGTTCAGACGTCCCAGTTTAAGAGTTTTAGTGTATTTGTTTTCATTCCTTATTACTCTTTAATTCCTTATTACACTGCTTTATATGGCTTATAAATAACAGGCAATATAAAACTGTTACTTGTAGGCCATATAAAACTGCCTGATTAAAACACAGCAAAACAAAACAAAACAAAAATCTGCCTAAATGTGTTATAGACAAGATGCATGACAGAAGGCTAATGTTTGATTTCAAGTCCTTCTGTCTTGTATTTTGCTATTTTTAAAGCTGCAGTTTTCTATAAGAGACAAATCTTAATAGGTTTAAACTTGCTAGAAAATAATCTATAATGTTTTGACAACTTGTGTGTGGCTTATAGTAAAATTGTGTGATTTTTTTKTTGTTGTTGTTGTTAATRTTGTTACAAGGTAATGTGGTCTGCATTCTTAGAATATTTCCAAAGTTTCTACTACAAATCCTCAGCTGATACATGTTCTAAAGTTATGTAAACTAATTTTCAAAAAAGTTACATCACTGTGAATACATGCATATAGAAAGATCTGGATTATTAAACAGATTTAATTTGTAGATGTATTTGC